TGCGTGCGTGCGTGGGGGTGGGTGTGGGGGTGGGTGTGGGTGTGGGTGTGTGTGTGTGTGTGTGTGCGTGTCTGCAGGCGTGCAGACATGCAGCACGCTGCTTTGGCTTGTTTCCGCAGCGAGGTGTAACACTGCAGACGGGTGATGTGGTGTTGAAGGCCGCTTCCTTTACATCATCAAGTACACCCGCCCAACCAATTCGCATCGCAGAAAGCACTCCGAGAGATCTGCATGTAATGTTCTGCAATTGGAGGTTTGACTTTCATGTCCACCTTGAACATTGAGCAGTTGATTCACTGTTAGCTTGGCCAATCGTTCAGCCGCTTCAACTCAGAGTTGCTCATGCATGCAATTGCTTCATGATGAGTGACGGGTCCAGGCAATGCTGGGAGCGTTCACAGCTGACATCTACACAAAGTGTCAAAGTCAAAGTCAAATTTTGGTCTGTTCGTTTGTTTGTGACATGGCCACGCACCTGCCGGGTTCTGCTCACTTCAGCTCTGACTACGCAAAGCATCTAAGTCAACAACTATTTTTTGCATGCAGGCATTCATGCATGTATGTATGTGCATTCATGCAGGCATGCATTCATAGACGTGCATGTATGTATGTATGTATGTATGTATGTATGTATGTATGTGTGTATGTATGTATGTCTGCATGTATGTATGTATGTGTGTGTATGTGTGCATGTGTGCATGTGTGTATGTGTGTATGTGTGTATGGGTGTATGTGTGTATGTGCGCGTGTATGTATGTATGTATGTATGTATGTATGTATGTATGTATGTATGTGTGTATGAGTATGTATGTATGTATGTATGTATGTATGTATGTATGGTTGTATGATTATGTATGTATGGTTGTATGATTATGTATGTATGTAAGTATGCAATGTACGTGTGTATGTACGTGTGTGGAAAGGCCTTGACATGATTTGTTCGGCTCTGTTGTGCTGTTGGAAGCACATTGTTCGCCTACTATGTCTCTCTCTCTCTCTCTGAGCTCCGACAGCTTCTGGTGGAAGAAGTTCCTCCGTCGTTGCCATGTGTGCGATGCCCCCAGCGGACATATTTACATACCGCGAAGATCAAAACCCATTAAAGCCCGGTAGAGTAGTGACGCCAGCATGAGGAGGCGCGTCACCGGGATTTGCTCGAAACAAAACTATCGGAACTAGCCCAGAAGCATGTCAAAAACATGGGAGCATGCCAACGAGCTGGTCCTCAGACATCCTTTTAGGGCGCGGGCTGACACATACTTGGACGCGTCCACACCATCCTCGGAGCAGGATCATATTGAGCCTTCTTTGCTCAGGAAAAGATCTGCCAAATGAGAAATGAGGACACGCACAATGTCTTTCATGACGGCGTCGACCTCGACTTCGCCCTTAAAAAGCTTCAACCTGCGCAGATTGGGAATCTCAGTTCTGCCGGGATCTCACTGCAGCCGCCTGTTCTGGAATCGCGTGACACGTGCGATGCTCTTGTCTCTGTTCCTTGGGTTGTCGCCACAGGCACAAACATGCCCAGCCCACAGTTAGGTAGTTGACGCAAGCCACGGATGAAGACAGTTTGGGGCTGCCTGTGGCGTGCTGTAACGGCCTTCCACCTATCACCCCACTGCTAAGTGAGGTAACTACTCGGACGGCTTATGAAGACCAAGCCAGACAGAGAAGACAGCTTAGGCCAAGCGCCCTGTCATCTGTGAGCCCGAAGCCTGCCAGGAGATACATCGCAGACTTGGCCGATCTGGCTGTCAGCGGAGCAAACTGACAAGCTGGGTGCGCCTTCGCTGCTCGATTAAGCTTGCGCCTCGAAAAGCAGCATCGGAGCATGCACGTATGTGTTCCATGTGTGTCATGTAGCTCCCGAGGCCAAGGCAGTTCGACCCGAGCCAATTCATCCCGCCTCAGCAACACAGGCCACCACATGCACGACGAAAGACACACACACACACAGAATCACACACATGTGTACAAGCAACACACACACTGACTGAGAGGATATATGTATACCTATGTATATATATATATATATATTTATTTATATATATCCCTATATATATCCATATATATATATATATACATATACATATACATATACATATACCTATATATACACATACACGCACACATAGACATACACGTACATATACATATACATATTGTACGTATACGTAAACGCATACCTTTACATTTACGTATATGTAGATGCTTTGGTGAAGGCAGGGTTGAGGCAAACTCTGCAGCATGCTTGGTTGATGCAGAACGACTATTTTGCTACTCTAGACTCTAGATACTCTAGATGGTAATGATGATGAGAACTGCGATGACATGATCTCAAGTGTGGAGGATTGGGCCTCCCTGGAATGCACAGTCCCTTGCAGCAGACCATAGCAGACCCGTCGCTAGCCGAGCGTTAGTTGGAAAGTTCCAAAGCAAACTCCGCAGTGCCCGGCTCGTCGTCTGCATACTTCTGTCTGGCTTCCTCCGCCCTCGGTCGCCAGCTTTATCCGACGCACCACACATCAGCCAAGGAATGGAATGCCCAAAAGTAAGAACTAAGGAATTGGCAACTTTGCTTTCGGATCGTCTGCTTTTTCGGCAGCCTTGTTGGCTTCCTGTTCAGCGACACCGGTTACAAACACAGAATGGCTCCGGGATGGGCCAAATACTCTGCAAGTTGTCCTTACTTGCTGCCTTGGTCTCAACCTTTGGGTCAGTCTTTGTGGACTTGCCATCCTTCTGACTGCCTGCCTTCACAGCTGGTCGAAGCAAACTGTTTCTTTCAGTCGCTCCGTGACTCTAGGCGGGTGATGATTGGCAGGCATGGACAGGCCAGGACTTGCAACCCAGTCCAGCACTATCGAGTTATGTTGCCAGAGCGTGTAGAGGTTAGTGTGTGGCCGAAGCACAACTTCAGGCGAATGCAGAGGATGGCAATGGAAAAGCCTTGGTACCATGCCGGGAAAATCTAGCCCCGGCAAAGGTGGAGATCGTAGAGCAACCAAGACTCGGAGAACAACACCCAAACACACACGGGATTGCGATTTTGATTGGCCAGAATTGAATCACCTCCACTCGACTCATGATGCACGTTCTGGAGAAAGCGTAACCACGCAACAGTATACGCCAGTGCCGTCTCTCTCGGTCCCAACACCGAAGCCGAAGCATCGGGAGAAACGCCTTCCCCTTTTCTGCATCTTTCTTCGGCTCTGCCTGGCAAGGCAGCTTGCTGCACGAGTTGTGATCACAGCAAAAAACACATTTCAGCTTGCCTTGGCGCCTGCCTTGCCCATTCCAAGGCCTCGATTAAAGAAGGCATTCCCTGCAACCCGTGCCTCAGGAATCTGAGTTGCCGGCGCAGGGCCCGGTCACAAGCACAGTTCTCCTACTCGGACTTAGATTATTCTTGGCATTGCATGGAGGCTCTTTTCACAAGGCTCTGTGCTCGTCTGGGCTTTTGGGCTGTGTCGGGCGTGGCGTCTAAAAATATCTCGTTTCTCGTTTCGGCATGTGGGTAGCAAGCTGCTGGTTTGTCTGCTTGGGCTCAACTACATCTGTCCCCTGCTGCAGGCATGATGCACTAGCGAGAACACCCACGAAGCTGCTGACTTGCAAGCGATGCAAGCGTGCAGGCACTTGAAGGTAGGGCGACCCGCAAGCAGCATGCATTTTGCAGTACCAGCCAGTAGTCGTCTTTCCGAAATTGCTGCAGCTGCACCATAAACCTTAGTAGGCAACATCTTGACAAATCGGTTTCCCAGCCAAGCATGGCATGAGGCCTCCCGAGGGAAGCTGCCAGGGCAGCAATTTCGGACCAGAGCGTATCTTCGACGTCAAGGAAAAGGAAGATGGCACCCGGCCGCGCCGCCTCCGCAGTGCCAGCTGAACTCTTGGCTTGGTGATTCGCAGGTGGCCTGGAGCAAAGTTGACAGCAGCCCGAAGTCGCTTGACCGGAGAGCTTCCACACTCTCGTGTAATACCTGCGCCGGCAGTTCGCGCTCAGCTTGACTCATGTTTGACGTCCAGACTTGACTCTGCAGTACATTCCACCCGGAAACTAGACGTGGTTCCAGATGCTGATCCCGAACGTGTTGCCGTGGAGCCCTGCCCAAATTCTGAACTCCGCAATCTGCGAGCTGGGCAAGGCAATTTGCTGAGGCATTGAAAATCATGAAGACCGTGCGGCTGTTGCCTTTACACAGACGTGTAAGCACTTGTTGCCGGGATAAGCTGCCGAGGGAACCTGTGTAAATTAAGTTAACTATATCCAACCGAGACCCTGTTAGATGATGAATATTAATTGGCATGCAACCCCGTAGCCTGTAACCCTTGAACCTCAACTGCTTTGCAACCCGTGATCTGGAATCTGGATGTTAAAAGAAGAGGTTTAAATCCCAAGCGGCGCACATAAGAAAAAACGAAGACGTCGGTGTCTTCAGGAGATGGCACTCCGGTCACCAACCTCTTGCTCAGCAGCTGGCCTGTGCACAAGTCGACCGTGTTGAAAACCCCACAAATCGAGCATCCTCTGAGTAAACGAAATCGCACATGCAGCACTGCCTTGATGGAAGTACAGGTCCGTCCGCGGCCTGTCAGCTTCAGAATGCCAGAGCCTGATGAACAAAAGCGGAGATTCTCGAAAAGATCACACAGTGCAGAGTAGACAATGCGAGGCAAAAACGAGACAGCTGAGACACTGTAGCACTGCTTGAAGCCGCAGAATCGTCTCGGACCAAGCATTCTCGCAGTCCACGACATGATGCTCCAGGTGCACCGGCCATCCTTCCAGCCCTGCATAGACAGCAATTCCTCGCAAGTTTTGGGGAAGCTGGCCGTCGACTGCTGCATTGTGCGTCTTACAACTTGCGGTCTGCAGTCCTAGTGCTGCTATCCCTGGACCTCCACCAATGTCCACCACAATGCACGACTCCTCTGTGAAGGCAAGACTTGCCAGCAACATCTGCAACATCCACAGCTCCTTCTCTGCGAGGCTATGCGTGACGGCCTCCGGCCCGAAGAGCACACAGGCAACTTGGGCACAGCGGTCTTTCTCGAAGACTTTGTTTCGGATGTATCCTCGCACAGGGGCTGCAGGTGCCCGTGCTGGACCTAGCAACTGGCTTTCAGACCTCAAAACATACCCGAGCTACTGTAACGTACTCACTGCACCCTCTCCGGCATGGGCACCCATGTCAGAATAGTCCAACGGATCGGGGCGACGAAGCTTCCTGAGTTCGCAAAAATTGAATGCTCCGTGGCAAGACACCAAGAGAGGATGACAATCACAACGTCTCGGCACTTGTCTGAGTCTAGTCTGCAAACTCAGGCCGAGATCTTCAGCTTCTTTCGCAGTCTCCTCCAGTTCTCGTACTGCGTCTCCGGGAACGAATCCAGCCACTGCCTGCAACGTACATGCCAACGACTCCCTGAAGCAAACGGAACACAACCGGATATGGTCATGGTTTAGTTTAGTTTCTGAGGTAGGTTACAAGTACCAGACAGATTCCGCCTGGTCAACTCCTTGCTGGCACGCGCATGCGCTTGGTACCAGCTGATATCTTCGGCAAAGGTGTGCATCAAGCGTCGTCTCAATGGCAGCAAGAAGCCTCAAAAGGACGAGCGCAAAAATGAGCGATAATGAGCGCTGCTAGCAGGGATGCGCCTCCATCTTCGTGCACCGCTTCCCTCAAAGCAGGCCATTCCTTGGTGTCTAGCACCGAACAGCGGAAGTCCCAACGTCTGCTCTTTCAGACAAGTAACGGCGTCAGTTGCATAGTGGGCCAACATTTTGGCAAATTGGCAGATGTCAACTTGCAACGAATGCTGGCGCATGCGCCGCAGCTGCTGCACCATGCAGGAAGCCGTGGATTGATCAGGATGCTCCTGCCAACACTCAGTGAGTGCATCGCCTACACAGAAACGCAAAGGGATGTGAAGTCGCCCAAGAATGCAAAGCTTGTGGGCTCGTGGCTGTGCCGGGCGTCGAGCTGGTTAAGATGTTACACTGTTTGGCTAAAGCTCAGGAAAAGAACCCGCAGCATCACCACCTAAACAAGGAATGGCTGTGAATGGGTATGATCAGCAGACACCTGCGCAGCAGCAAAGTAGGTAAACGGCTCGCTGGGCACTCCGGCGGATGCCATGCGATGCAGCAACTGAACTGAAACCTGGCGAATTGAGAAGAGCGTTGCCAAGAGGTCAAGACTGTTCGAGCTCGGACTCTCAACTTCCAGCACTCCCATGCACTCCCTGCCTCCCAATGTCCTCGACTGCAGGACCAAAGGGCCGAATTGAAGAACTTTCGGTCCGGCGCCTCCTGCGAGTGCTGCCTCGCACATGTTGCAGCTTGAAGCTCCAGGGCTTCTGAGTATTCGAACACGGTGTCGGGCTTGCGTGAACGGAAGGGATGATAAGGACACTGGAAGAAACCAATTCCGAACCAATCGCTGCTGTCATGCTGCATGTCTTCCAGCATGGGGAGCGCCACATGCCAGCACCGTGCTCTCCGAGCTACGCTCATCACCTTGACAAGGCTAGGCATGTCGGCACCTAAAAAAACGAATCGGCTACCAGGCCCAAATGCAAAGTCTCACGCAGAGCTGAAGCTAAGCATCATGCAGCCGTGTAAACTCCTCGGCTGAGAACTCAGAACTAGCAGTAACCAGCATGTCTCCAGGCTGCACGGCAAATTCGACAAGGTATCGTAGAATGCTAAATTTTGACTCATCGGGCCTGTGTCAAACTTGTGGGTCGTGAACCTGGAAGGCCCTTTCACCGAGTTCTCCGTGAATGTTATGTCGAAAGTCATGTCCGCACGGTCAAATCATACACCTCGATCTTGAGGGTTCAACAAGCATTCGCATACGAATTACCGTATACAGCCTGTAATTATACATGAACCTAAAGTTTTGCCTCTCTCTCTCTCTCTCTCTCACTCTCCTGCAACACACGAGAGCCGCCCCCCCACGCGATGTCGCGCACTGACCCCCACAACCACTACTTCTATCATCCCCAACCCGCCTAAAGGCTGTGCGACACCTCTAGGACCGGAGCCTGGCAAGCTTGCTCTCAGCCTAAGCCAGCGACCGATCTTCGGTCCGGATTTCGAGGCTTGGCCCGCGGCACAACACGGGGACTCTTCTAGTTCCTTCAAGCGACTGCACACAAGCTGTGGCCCCTCTTCGTGAAATCAACACCGGACTTTGTCTGGGGCCCACAAAAACAGCTGTTGCAGCAGACTGCTGACAGCAGCTATGTAGCAGAGTGTGCGAGACTACAGCGGACACGACACCGCATGACATGGCAAGGCTCTCTTTCTCTACCAGGCTCTCTCTCTCTCTCTCTCTCTCTCTCTCTGTCTCTACCAGGTGGGGAGCTCAGCACGCAAGCGCGCACCCACTGTCCGTGGGTGTCTGACGTGTTTCACCCTAGGGATTTTCCCCTGACGGGCTCGGCTGTACAGCAGAAAAGGACTCCCCCGAGCAGCAAGCCATGGTCACTTTTTTGGTCAGGTTACTATGCATTGCGACCTTCCAGGACATGAGTGTTTGCTCTGCAGTATGGACGGCACTGGACTTGTTGGGACGATTTTCCCCCACGAGGCAAGGAGACCAAGTAAGATTGTTGCCAGAACGATGTTCAGAACTCGCTCTCTCTCTCTCTCTCTCTCTGTTTGCTTGCTTGCTTCCATGCAGGGCGTCTGGGGACCGACCCCGTGCCCCTGTGCTCAGGCCGCTACACCTGAAGTCCGCCAGTTCGGGCGTGCATGAGACAGATTTGTTGGCCCCCGACTGCCCATTCCGGATGCCGGCCCAGACGAGCCCGGGAATGTCGGTGCGCCGTCCCTGTGCATTGCCGGCGGTGCTGGACAGGTCGTTGGACCGACAACACAGTTGCCCAGTAAAGCACTATATAAGCTAGGGCACAAGTACTGTATCTGTGTCTCTCTCTCTCTCTCTCTCCCTCGGAGCCCCCCTGACCCGAAGGCTCACCGGAAACGTATCCCCCAACCTTCGACCGCAGGGGGCCCTTGTTTTCCGCTCTCGCAACTCGGACAAGCCCGGCGAGGTCCAGCAGGTCGATCAAGTTTTTTAGGGGTGCGCGCGCAAGGCCCCTATTCCTCGCTCTCCGCCTTAATCAACTACTGCTTAAGGACCTGACAAGGAGCTTGCTTGTGCTCGTTCGTTGCTTGCTTCTGCTTGCTGCTGCTTTTACTTGCCCTGGCGTGCTTTACGATTTTCAATTGCCTGCTAGTTCATGGCGTCCGGCTTGCTTGCCGGCTTCTTGATTGGAAAAACAGAAACAAATAGCAGAAGCATGATGGGCGTAAAAGTAGGGTCGCCCGTGTTCCGGAGGTATCTTGATGGAATGCAGATCAACTCCGACCCCACACTGTACCAACCGATCTTCATGTGTTTCTGCCCGTTGCCCTCTTACGTGCTTGACTTCAACTTCATACAAGCATGAAGCATCTAACTTCATTTGATGAGTTGTTACTTCGCACCATGCTCGACTGAATTATAATTTTGGATATGTGTCCGGCCAAGGAGACTTCCGCTTTCTTGGCTTCACCCAACCACTGAAGAGCATTGGCCCACTGGTCCTCTGTGCAGCACAGAGCACCGCAACCTCGGAGTCAGAAAGTGGAGTAGCGCGAGCACGGTAGTCATTCGCCTTTGAGATTGTTGACGAGCAGCGAAACGTATTCGAGTCTGGCTGGAGAGCCTGGAACGGCCAGGCTCGTTTGCAGAACGAAATCAGGCATCTCAGAAGCGCCAAATATCACGTAGGCACTAGCTTGGGAAGCCCGTGGTGTCTTCACCACGGGACTTCTACCAAAAACCGTTTTGATCAATAGAACAAGAGAATGCAGCCAAAATGCAGATGCCACAAAGTTTGACACAATCTTCCGGGCCAGCTCGTGGCCACGATTCTTGCAGGCTGATATCCTTGCATGCCGCTCGGCAAGCAAGCCTGCAGCCTCTCCATCGCAATCACTGCTGCTGCAATGCAGGGGAGCTGCACGCAGTTCACGAGGGGCATGTCCACTTCCAGCTCTTCCATGTCCATGATCGCAAGGATACGGATGGCAGCATACCACGCCCCTGCATCTTTGAAACCAGAGATTCCCAGCATGATGTCCTTAGCCATCTGGGACATTGTCCAACTCGACCGGCTGCGGGATTGTGATGTCCCTGTGCCTGCATGTTGCTCGTCAATGTCCCGTTCGGGAACAGCAACTTCTCTGCCAGACCTTCCTCGGTGGGTCGCGTATTCGTCTCTGCATGCGCGAAGGACTGACTGCCCGTCCCGGCCTTCTCAACTTTTGGGGATCGGCGCTTGAGCTGTGAGATGAGCTCGCGCCTCTCCATGCGCTCCAGGCGTTGCCTGGCCAAGTCCCGGAAGCTGTGCCCTTGATGTCACCCCCTTTCGTGGCCAGGTGGACTGCCAAGTGGCATTCTTGACCGTTGGAGGAGATGTCTGCATCGTCTACATGTCGATCCAAGAAAGGCTTCAAGGACGGCTTCACGCTGAAAAGTGCTAAGCGTGCAGTCGTGTTTGGACATGCGCATGCGGCCAACCGTGTGCATCGAAACACTAGGTCACTAGGCAGAGGTGCTTCACCATTTCTTGTGCCACTTTGTGCTTGCACTTCAGAGTTTCGGGAAGCCACCACACCGGGCCGTCCACATAACCCTCCGGAGCTCCAAAAGCTTCCGACCTCGAAAACACAAAACATCTGCCGCACTGAAGCAGAGAGATGCAACTTACGATCAAAACCACTGCACCGCCAAGCAACTGCTCTTTCTGGATGCGTGCCAAAACCTCGCCTTTGATGTTTTCACCTAATTCGCCGGAGGCAGCGAATGGTGTTCACGTGTGCCAACTCGTCACAACTCTCTCGCTCTCTCTGCCAAAATCGCCAGCAAAGTGAGCCAACGCCGGCTGCGCCCTCGCCGCTTGCAGCGCCAGGACCAAGTCGTTCCGATGTTGGGATCCCAGCCTTGGACTCTGACTACCTGCATTCCGCCTTCGCGCTTTGGGAAGGCATCGATATGTTGGTGTTGCCCGTCCATTGGAGCACTAAGCAGCTGCTCGAACACCCATGGATTCACCATCACTGCCGCTGTCCCAAACCTCGGCTTTCACGACATGGCCCTGGTAAGACACTCTAACAGATTGCGGCGGGCCGCTCAGGTGTCTGACGCAACGAGGCATCCACAAAGTGCACGGCCTGCGGCGCCTCCAGGCCCACAAATCAGAGATCCCAAGCTAACCCCGCTGGCTGTCAACGGCTTCTCGACGCTCAGCTCTGCCTTCTGCACTGCGGTCAAGGCAACCTGTTGTATGTCGCAAGCTTCAAACTTCAAATCTGAACTGGCACAGTCTGCATTCTGCTGCTTCTCTGACAAAAGTTTGCCTCCCTGGGGCCTCTGGGTGGGAGTGCCAGCCTGCCGCGAAGCGCAGCACATCACCATTGCAGCGGACTGCGCGTAGAACGAACTCCTCAGGTCGTTTCAAACTCGACGTTTGCGACGCCCACACGAACCTACTCTGATGATGGAGTCAGATTCTGACATGGTTAACTCGATTGCGAGAAGTGCCAAGCCCTGCATATCTGAAATCATCACCAAAATTTTACGGCATCGCTGCGACTTCATCGCACAGACCCGGGTGGTGCTCTCAGGAAGGGTTACAGCACGGACGTTCTGCTTCCTGTGCGTTCAAAGAGTTGTCGATGTTCCTTTGTACGGACATACATTTCACGATGCACAGCTTCTCCAGCAGCGGCTTCATCTTTGTCCTTCCTTTCTTCTTTCTTCCCCGGGTTCAGCTGCTTCTGTCTCTTGCTGTGCCTGTCTGTCTCTGTCTCTCTCTTCTTCTCCCGGACTTGTCTGTCTCTCTTGCCTGCTCCAGAGTAAAGGCACGCGGGCACGCCTCCCCTTGTGGGCCGAAGTCGGCGTGAAACAACGGGACTTCCCCCAATTCACACCTTAAACCCTCTCTCAAAGCCTGTCCCTGCCTCCAGCCCGAACCGAACCCCTACCTCCCCACCCTGAAGCCTCTGCGCACACCCCGAGCAACGACAGCAAAAACGCACGGCAGGACATGGCAGGACACTCAACACTACCGCACGTTAAGTCCTGCTAACATGCTCTGGGGCACAACGCACTTCAACTGCACTCTGAGGCCACTGCCCTTTTGCAAGGAGAAGTTAGGCGGCAGCCCCGAGTACCGGGGTGAGATCTGATGACGCAGGAGCGTGACGCTCCCCTTTAAGTAAACCAGCTGAGGATCCCCTCGGAAGCGTTAGCGACGACCCCCAGGTTCAGTCACAGGTCTCTCTCTCTCCCTCTGTCTCTCTCTCCCGGGCATGAGGGTCGGTCAAGACTGCCGGGCCACAGGCCCACCCGCATTGTTTTAATGCAGGTTAGGGGTGTGAGGAGCGAACATAATACTCCCAACGAAGACAGTTAGATAGTGTGTGTTAGCTGACAAGGGAGTATGTATGTTCTCAAGG